ATGAAGCTATGACTGCCTGAGGGGGAAGTCTCAATGGGAGACGAATGTGAGAATAAAAAAAAAAAGTGTTTTTTTTTTTTAAACCAACGAACAAGGAGTAACTATTCTAAAGGGAGGGAAAGAACTGGGACACTTCTATCTACCTATTTGCTACTTATTTCCTTCAGTGACCAGGGAAGCGGTGCTGAACCGCTTCCTGAGCCCCGTCTTCAGCCGAGGACGGTTGAGAAGGAACTGAGGGGGTGCAGGTCATGTGTGCACAGACAGACCCTAACGACGCCATGAGACAACAGCTGGGCGGGTGCGCCCTGACCAGGCACTGCTACTGCAGATCTCTGATCAACAGCGCCAGGTTGCACAGTCACGTGGAGTGGGGCACCCACAGCGACAGCCCTCAAAGAAGAAGTAATGTTTAACAATGGAATAGCTCTGCCAAGTTGTGGCCAACAATTATTGCAAATGGAATCCTTTGAACTCCTATACAAGTGTTAATTCATTGATATAACTGTATGCCCTTTTTGTGGAACCTCTCTCTATAATTGTTTTCCAGGTTGGACATTACCTGACTTTCCCAGACGTCATTTCACAGCACCTACATTGCAACAGTATTTCCACGTAAACTAAATCAAGAGTGCAATGATCTCTCACCTACACACTTTACAGATGGAAACCTATAATCTTGAATGTCCCATTGATAGAGCCCTGCACAGATATAAAATTTTTATCTCCATGGATTTGCAGGGCTCTAGCAACTGAGTTTGTTGAGTCCTGCTGTACCAGCACTGAGTACTCAATACAGTATAATTATCTTAGTTTCGATCCAGTGTTAGGGTGCTTGATGAAATGGTAATGTTGTGTATGTATGGTTTATTGTTCACTTTACGTCCTATTTTGGCACTGCCTAGGACAGTGGGGAAGCGAACACTTCATAGGAGTTTAGTATAGATCAAGACTCTGACCATATATCTGTCAGTGTCTCAGTCTTGCCTTTCTGCAGTTCCTGGAATTACAAAGAATTGGAGAAGTCTGTCTAATCAGAAGATGGAACAACCTGATTTTATTTTAGAACTTGTGTTGCCCTATCACTACCTTTGGCTCCATTCGCATAAGATGGAAATAATACGAAAGCAATATCTCCATCAATGGTTTTATGCCAGATGCAACTGAACCAATTTACAAGAATCCAGAGCGCATTCTGCAACATATCCTAAAAAATATTTCTAAGCAAGCTTACAGAAGCAGGAGACAAGTCCTGCTTTTCAAATGTGGGGTGCAGGCAACAAGAATATTAGAAAGCACTGTCAGATTCATCTCCATTTATGTTTTATTGGAGACTTCTCCCCACTATACTCATTGCAATAAGTGGAGTGACTTCACTCCACTTTCATGCATGTGAAAAGTGCACATTGTGCAGGCTCAGGTAATCCCTTACCTCAAGACCACACACAAATACATTTGGGTACAATCCTGACATGAAGAGCCTATAGCTCTCAAGCCACTTAGAGTTACAGCTTCCAATTTTAGATTGATATGGAAATGGTGTAAAGTTCCAGAGACTGCTGCCCCAATAGATAAAAGTATGTTGTACCGGGGTGGTCACCCAGCTCCGGCCCTGAAGGGGTGAAAGCAGCCCTGGAGAGGGCTGTGGCGGGGAATAGCTGGGCTGATTGGGGGAAGCAGAAACAGCTGGAACCACGCCTCAGTCAGGCCACAGCTGGCCCTTATAAGAGGGCTGTGGGCCAAAAGCTGGAGGAGTCTCTTTAGCTGAAGGGAGAAAAGGACCTGGCTGCCTGGGAGCTGAGCAGGGTACCTAGAGTGGAGCAGGACTGGGGGAAGGCCAGAGGAGATGGGGAGCTCCAACCTGGGAAATACCTAGGCTGCAGGCCTTGGTAAAGGCCCAGAAAGGTACTGGGGCTGCAGAGGGGCAGCCTGGGAATAGGCAGAGGCACCTGGTCCTAACCCTTTGCTGTTGATGAGTGGCCATTACAGACTGCAGTCTGCCCCAGGGAAAGGGGGCTGGATGACGATTGGCAGTAGCCACTGAGGCAAGGTGGGTTTAGAAGGTTGGGGGTTCCCCTGGGAGGGGAGACCCAGAGCGTGGGGGTACAGCTGGGGCAGAACCCCAAGGTAAAGGGCACCGGGAGCAACACAGGGCCAGCGGCAGGTGAGACACTGGCCTGCAGAGGGCGTGCCGTAAGCTGGAAAAGAGCTAATTACCAGACAACCAGAAGGAGGCACTGCCACCGGTGAGTTTTGTCTTGCTACACGTGTTAATATTTGTGAAAAGCCAACAAAGTGAGGAAACAGAGGGTGAAATCATTATCATCGGGTGAGATTATTATCATTATCTCACCCGACTGTACCCAAGTATTGCAGAGTTCTCATTGCTTATAGGATGTGTATCATATCCCACATATTACATTCACACACCATAGGAAAGTAGTCTCAAGGTAGCCATCTTGACCAGTATAAATCAAACTTGAAAATTCAGAGGAACTGGGAGAAAAGGGAGGTAAAGACTAGGCCAATAAAATATATGGACACTTCTCTACCACCCAGTCTGTTCACTACCACATTTCCCGCAGGGAAGAGCAGATGAATTGGAGGGCAACAAGTTGTTGTGACTCTTGTTAGTGCTAGTATGCTTCAGAGCTTTCAAATTTCACTCCTACCCTGGCAGCTCTGCACCTCCTCCCTTCCCTTATACCACTTTACTCTTAGCAATGGAGTGGAGTAAGGGTGGCAGGCAGGGAAACTACTAAGCTTTGAAGGGTGATTCAAAGGGTCTTGCTACTTTCAACTATAACTACTCCCTTTAGCTGGGGAGTGGAACACCATAAAGAGCATGTGGGAAAGAACAGGAGGAGGAAAAAAAGCACTACAGGGAAGAGACAGGCTGAGGGGAACAAAGGAAAGGGGAAGAACAGGTGGTAGCAGGTGCGAAAAAACAACAGAGAATTAGAAAAAAAAACCAGCAAAGAAAAGAGAAGTCTATGAACATAGGAGAAATATTTTGTCATACTCTTCATCAAAAAAGGAAAAATTAGAAACCAACAACTGGCAATATCTCCAGGAGCAGCAGATGTTTTTCTGAGGATGGGCCTAAAACAGCGGTTCTCAAACTGTGGGTCGGGATCCATAGTGGGTCGGGACCCCATTTTAAGGAGTCACCAGGGCTGACTTAGGCTTGCTGGGGCCCAAGGCCAGAGCCAAAGCCTGAGCCCCACCGCCTAGGACCAAAGCTGAAGTTCAAGCTCCACCACCCAGGGCCAAGGCCCGAGGGCTTCAACCCTGGGTGGTGCGGCTCAGGTTACAGGCTCCCTGCTAGAGCTGAAGTCCTTGGGCTTCAGCTTTGGCCTCCCCACCCTGGGCGGTGGGGCTCGGGCTTTGGCTTTCACCCCTCGACCCGGGCAGTGGGGATCAGGCTTTGGTTCCCCCCCTTTTAGGGTCATGTAAAAATTTTTGTTGTCAGAAGGGGGTCATGGTGCAATGAAGTTTGAGAATCCCTGACTTAAGAGATTTAAGAGATGATGCCTTTTTTCAGGAAGGCAGGGTCTCTAATAATAATGGACCCAATTCCCTTTGCAAGATTTTGCCAGCCAAGAGGGTCATGGATCCAAGTCACAGATTACAATACAACGTTATTATATGTATAGCACTAACAGCTTTGCTGATAGCTGTGAAGACAAGGGCTCTGCCCCATTTAGCGTATTGTAATCGAAACCAGTTGAAATTTAATTAGGGAAAATAAAATTTGTAACAAACAAACTCAAGTGTTTGTAGTTCAATACCGATGTTGTTTTATGCTTTCCTATTTTTTTTTAAAGTACTTATTACATAAAACAATGAAAACTTTATCATCAAGATTAGTTGTTCTATTACGACTGCCTTAGTTTATTTTCCATGTGTTAAAACTACAAACAAAATAAATACACCTCAAAGCACATTTAAAACTGAACAAATCCTCCACCCACTGTCTAAATGAGAGCACAAGAGGCAAACAATACTAGCGTGATGCTCTAAAATGTTCCAGGTTATAGTTATCACCATGTATGCAAGGGCAATGGAGTATCTAATTTCAGTTTTAGCCATACAACAGGATTTTCTTTTTAAATACAGTTCCAAATTTACTCAACAAAATTAGCTTTTGCTCTGCACAATAAACAGAACACTATCTTATTTATTACAACTAAGGAAGATATTTAAAAACTTTATTTTTTTAATTAAAATACACTAACCTATGAATAGGTGAAAAACTATTTCAGATATCAGTGCTGGGCCTACAATATATAATGGACAATGTGAGACTAAAACTGTCCGCATGGAACCCTACTGAAGCCAATCAAGCTTCCCCTGGGTGTAGCTGTCCACCTTCATGTTGTCCCTTGCAGGATTGGGACCTTAATTATATAAAAGGTTCAGCCATCTAATAATCTGACTGTAGTAAAAGAAACTGCCACACCGTAGCAAACAGTACTGGCAAAATACAAAATAAGTGATTTAATGTATTCTGAAAAAATTGATTAAAACATTAATATATATAATCTTGATTGTGAGATCTTTTTAAAAATATACATAGTAGGCCTAGTTTAGAGTTTAACTACTTCTGACTGATGCCAAGCTGTTTTGATGCATCTTTTAAAAACAACTGCATTGATTTTCATCTTTTCCCTCCCCTGAAAAAAATAGAAAGAAAGCGAACAGAAGCCTAAGAAGTTCTCAATGCCCAATAATTCAATGGCTGAAGATCAACAAGCAGCAATACAAAAGTCATAGGATAGACTTTCCATTCCCAACTACCTTGCCATTTCTTCTTCACTCAAAATTTCTTATGTGAGCAAGTTAAATAATAAAAACAAGACATTTCTGAGTAGGTGGCAACAAAATGTTATTTATAAATTATTTTTTATCTCCACTAGCTGGATTTTTCTTGTGTACAATTTTAGCTAAATTGCATCTAAACACCAGTTAGCACGTTACCCATTTTGTTTTTCCCCTACCTGGCATACATTTCAGGAGCTTTGCATTGCACATATGTCCTTTCCATATGTCTGTGAGAATATATTCCATCCGCTTTGCTCGCCAAAGGAAGTTAAACACCCTTAGGTAGTGGCTCATGCACTCTCGTGTAAATACCTGCAAATAAAATCAATATAACAGCTTAAAATAAAATTACCAGATTTACTATCTGTTCATTTGGTTTCTTTAAATCGTTCTATGCTATCCCAAGCAATGTATACAGGTTTTACCAGCAGATTACAACAGGAAATAAACCCAAAGCTCTAGGGAAGTTACTCCCTCTGTGCAGGGAGCTCATCTGGCTCAGTCATCAACAGCCCAAGCAATAGGCAAAACACCATTATAAAAACTGAATCAGAACACCATTTGAGTAAAAGGTTCCACTACACTAAAATAAAGTCAAAGTCTGGACTGGCACAGGAGGACTTCTCAAAACCAAGTGATCAGGCAAGTCTCCAGAATCTCTCTGTGCAACAACAGTCATAGGCTGGCGTACGGGTGAATAGGGGAAAAAAGATTTTCTACAACGTGCAGAAACTGCCTCAAGGCAGTTTACAGACTACGTCAAGTCAGCAATGATGTACCTAAGGCTGCCCAGGTGGGCTTTAGAGCACTAGAACAGAAACATCCCTTTTCAGACTCAGACAGCCCCAACAATGAAACAAGCCTTGAATAATGACAGAGTTTCTTTACAATGGACTGTGTAATCTTCCCTAAGGTTGTCAATACAAATAAGACACTGATCCCTTTTAACCTGTTAGACTTTCTTAAGACCCCTAAAGAGAAAGCAAGAGCTGATCTGAATAAGGTAACTTCAGGACCTATTTTCGGACACACACAGAGCTCTTTCAGTGTATGAAGACACTTCTCTCTTACTTCATTGGGGTGGACAGGAGAGGGAGAGAAACTTGAGTCAAATGGAAAAGGGAACCCATCTTGGGAAGGACAACAGGAAAAAACAATGATTAAGCCTATCCCGATGATAAACCAGGAACATATCCCTGCATTAAAGAGCATAAGTTTCCCCATACACCCATCATCAGGCAGATAGCTGCCAGAAGATTAAAGGTGAGTCTCTCAGATGTTCCTAGGGACCGTGTCACATGGTGGCTGGCTCCTTAAGGGGAGAAGCACCTAAGACCACCTATGACCAGCTTAATTCACTTCCCAGGTAAGAAGAATGAAGATTCTGTGACAGGTGGATCAGGTAACCAATCAAGCCTCTAATTAGGAAGAAGAATGTGGGAGAGGAAGAAGCTCAAGTGGGAGCCTCTAACAAACCATCTAAGATAGATGGGAAGGCTAAACAGGACAGAAGCATGGGAGCCTGGCTTGAGGAAACAGCTTCAGGTGAGTGCTGCAGAGAGACAGAATGGCTCCTCCACAGAATAAAGGGACTGTTTGGATGATAACCCAGCTCCAGGAAGGAGAGCTGGGGGGAAAGAAAGACTGAACTGTGACCATTCTCCAGGAAGGAGGGCTGAGGCCTCTTGGTTCCCAGACACTGGACTTCATTATGAAGCACCTACTCTTCCTAACCCAGCCAAAAAAAAACAAAAAACACCAACATGTGGGAGTGGGGTGTGTGGCCCATGAACCCCTCAATGCCAACTGGCAAGGGGGTAACAAGAATATCCTGATTCTGTTATGTACACCCTGGGTCACCAAAGAATGTCACATGGGTTCTTAAATGAAAGCCAGGATCACATGGGTTCATAGAATCATAGAATATCAGGGTTGGAAGGGACCTCAGGCAGTCATCTAGTCCAAGCCCCTGCTCAAAGCAGGGCCAATCCCCAATTAAATCTTCCCAGCCAGGGCTTTGCCAAGACTGACCTTAAAAACTTCTAAGGAAGGAGATTCCACCACCTCCCTAGATAACCCATTCCAGTGCTTCAACCACCCTCCCAGTGAAAAAGGTTTTCCTAATACCCAATCTAAACCTCCCCCACTGCAACTTGAGACCATTACTCCTTGTTCTGTCATCTGCTACCACTGAGAACAACCTAGACCATCCTCTTTGGAACCCCCTTTCAGTAGTTGAAAGCAGCTACCAAATCCCTCCATTCTTCTCTTCTGCAGACTAAAGAATCCCAATTCCCTCAGCCTCTCCTCATAAAACGTGCTCCAGCCCCTTAATTTTTGTTGTCCTCCGCTGGACTCTTTCCAATTTTTCCAAATCCTTCTTGTAGTGTGGGGCCCAAAACTGGACACACTACTCCAGATGAGGCTTCACCTATGCCGACTAGAGGGGAACGACCACATCCCTCGATCTGCTGGCAATGCCCCTATTTATACAGCCTAAAATGCCGTTAGCCTTCTTGGCAACAAGGGCACACTCTTGACTCCTATCCAGCTTCTTGTCCTCTGTAACCCCTAGATCCTTTTCTGCAGAACTGCTGCCTAGCCACTCTGGCCCTAGTCTGTAACCGTGCATGGGATTCTTCAGTCCAAAGTGCAGGAGTCTGCACTTGTCCTTGTTGAACCTCATCAGATTTCTTTTGGCCCAATCCTCTAATTTGTCTAGGTCCCTCTGTAACCTATTCCTACCCTCCAGGATATCTCCCACTCCGCCCAGGTTAGTGTCATCTGCAAACTTGCTGAGGGTGCGATCCACGCCATCCTCCAGATCATTAATGAAGATATTGAACAAAACCGGCCCCAGGACCGACCCTTGGGGCACTCTGCTTGATACCGGCTGCCAACTAGACATGGAGCCATTGATCGCTACCAGTTGAGACTGATCTAGCCAGCCTTCTATCCACCTTATAGTCCATTCATCCAGCCCATACTTCTTTGACTTGCTGGCAAGAATACTGTGGGAGACCATATCAAAAGCTTTGCTAAAGTCAAGGAATAACACATCCACTGCTTTCCCCTCATCCACACAGCCAGTTATCTCGTCATAGAAGGCAATTAGTTTAGTCAGGCATGTTGCTAATATTGTTTTGAAATATATGTACAGATGCTATGTAAGGGGTTACGTATGTATACTGAAAATATGTTTTAATGTATGTATTAATGTACAGTTGACAAAAGGATTTTCTGACAGAGAAGCCACCACCTCTGTTGGCATGTAAATTAAGCATTGTAAGCTACCACAATGGAGATTCATTTACATATGAATCAACAGAGGGGCAAGCACACCAGAGAATAAGCCACAGAGGGTTATCCTGACTGAGTACAAACAATGAACTTTGGGGCAATATAAGGAGAAGGCAAGGAACACACCCCTTTAACCTGCACCTAAGGAAAGTAATTGGGCAGTGTGATTACATTCATGAAAGTGGGATTAAAACAGCCTTGATTAAAACACTACAAAGGACATTTGGGGTGAGATAACAGGATAACCTAAGGAACGTTATGTTTAGCCTCTAGAAAGCTTGTTATGATTTTGTTTTGAATGTAACCTTTTTGGATCCACTAACCCTACTCACCATCTCTTGAACCTTTGATAGCAAACTTATTTATAGTGAAAACAATACTACAGCTTAGTGGTGTGGTATTATACAAGCTGCTAATCCTGAGCTGAATCAAATAGGCTGGTGTGTATGTTGTTCCCTTGTGGGCAGCAGGCCCAGTATTTCTGTGAGTGTTCAATGGAGAAGGGGCTGGACACTACAAGGGAATGCTTCAAAGGAACTCAGACTGGGCTACACCTGTTAACCTGCAAGCCAAAGGAAGGCATAGCCCAGAGGAGACTGCTTAGGTGGCTAACAGGCTGATGATGTCAGTAAAGCACAAGTAAGGCACAAGCAGGTTTCCCTCACACTGGAGCCCCACAGGGGGACGGTAACAAGGTGATGCAAAGTCCTGGGTATCTTGAGAACTGTCACAGGAGGAATCACCAAAAGAAAAAAGTAATAGACAAAAAAAATTAAGACCCAGATTTCAGAAATGCACATGCTCAAACGTATGTCTATTTACCACAAATGAATGTGCAATCCTGGTAATTATGCATATGCCATTTGGAAAATCTGGGCCCAAAACCCCAAGTCCAGCTCTCTTGCTTTGTTCTGTCCACCTGCTGGAGACAGGAAAACAATTAAGCAGGACTGGACAGATATCCTCTTTATAGGAAGAGATATGTCCTAAGAACTTTGCTCCCTCCCATCTCCATCTTCTGGTATTACGATCCGTATCAACTATCTGCGTTGGTCTATGGACTCTAGAGTGCTAAACTATTCTTTTTGCTTAATCTCAATGGTTTTATCTGCAGATGCTAGAGGAGAATCAATCTCTCGCTCTCTCTCACCCACACACTCCTGTAAGTTAAAATATAGTTGAACTGTAGTCCATTAAGAATAGAAGCCTTATGGATACAGAGATCTGAAGCACTAGCAGAGATATTTTCCAATGCGTTCGTGAGCAACACACAGTGCTTCTCTAGAGCATTTTCCTCTTGTTAACTGAAACAGCAACTGCAAAGCTTTCCAAATACTAACAAAACATTTCAGACGGCAGAAATGTAGCATTTTCATTTATCCAGAGTATACCTACACTGGACATGCCTACACTATATGTATTTTTATTTTTACATTTTCAACAGTGAAGAGGCGTCTATAACACACTTTAAGACATACATGAACAAAGATCAACATTACTATATTGTTATATTCTTGACTTGATTAGGAATAAGAAATATAAATGCATTAAATGTTATATAGGTTTCTATACATGAGATTTACAGATTACTGTATGATAGCAAGTTATATCACTTCAAAAGTTTCCAATATTTCTATGGATGCTCTTGCCATTTTCAATTTATAGCAGGACCACAAAGCTCCATTTTAGTTACGGTTCCATCACTATTCCCATTATAAACACTTGGGCTCTGTCAGACCAGAAAGCACTTCTTGTTCTTGGGAGGTTTTGAGCACCTTTCAATTCCCAATAAGATAACTGGGAGTTGAGAATGCCCAGCACTCTCCTAGAAGTGCTCAGTAATTGGACCTTTTGCTATGCATATGGAGTTTTAATATTCCTCTTCACATGTGACCTTCCAGGTCTCCCAAACAAAGGCTTGCTGGCAAAAATGAAGTGACATTTTGTTCAAAGAGCTCAGTAAAAAACAACCCCAGGATCTACTGAGACTTGAATCCTTCATAAAACAATGCTAATTTTTCTACACTGGTTCCTAAAAATATCACTTTGCTTGAGAACATGAGGTGATACTATCAGCAGTGACACACAGCCCTTCACCAAACCTAGTTTCTAGTGGTCAGCTGTACACCTCAAACCCCTCATACCTGATTTTCCTCCTCTACTCAATGAACTACTCTGGAATAGCAAGAGTTGCAGATATGGGGACTACAGTGCATTTGTGGAGAAGCCTGCATACTGGTTGATGCATGGGGGATAGACAGCAGTGAATACAATCAAAAGTATCTGAGCCACCCAGAAAAAAATTCCAGGGAAAGAGACCAAATTTCTGTGTATGTTAAAAGAAACTCACAGGAATCTTTCAGAGTAACAGCCGTGTTAGTCTGTATTCGCAAAAAGAAAAGGAGTACTTGTGGCACCTTCGAAACTAACCAATTTATTTGAGCATAAGCTTTCGTGAGCTACAGCTCACTAATCTAGAGGTTTTACTGTGGATGAAGTAGCAGGGGCTGGTAGGGATAAGAACTTTTTTTTTATGTCCTGTTTAAATCAATTACCTGTATAAAGTTAGGTACATTCTATGTGTTTAATTACTTGCTCAGTTGTCTACCTCCCTGTAACTACCGCTTTGAAAGGTAAAAAATTATGTAAACAAAAAATTATCATGAACCATAAAAGTGAAAAAAACTGATTCAATAATAATAGAGACACTTTCTGTGTAAGTCATTTCACCACAATTGAGGTTTACACCATGTTTCCCCAAATGGTAATGTCAAATGGTCAAAATTAGCTTAAGGGAGGTGGTTTGAAGTATAAAGTTTATATGGATGAGTAATTAGCAAAAGAAGAATCTGCCCCAAAGTATGGGGAATGTGAGAATGGATGTACAAATTAGAGGCCCAGAGAGGTATTTCTCTCCTTTCTCTAACTATACATCTATGTAAAATACCTTCTGCTGGTCACTGAGACCTTGTTTAAAAGAAAAAAAGAAGAAAAAAAAAGCAAGCACTGAAATTCTTTACATATGGTAAAAGCATTTTGAACAATAGTGTAACTATTTTCTCATCAGTTTTAATGAATACTACATATCAAATTTAACTAGTATAAATAGATTTCCCTAAATATATTTTACAGTTTCTTGCAAATTATCCCAAATTAGTTGCTACAGTCTAGAAATAATATCAGAAAATGAACAGTCCATTTATTAAGTACTTGCTAAAATTTTGCTGGAACAAATGTATTATTTATTTTAAGTAATGAATGTTTTAACTGTAGCATTTTAGCACTCATTAATAATTTAGAGAAACTGAGATTCTGGTTGAACTGTTAATACAATCGGTGCATCTGACATGCCAAATCTCTTTAATCATCCATTTCTAGACTAAAAAGGCTATTTTAATAACAAAGCAGTTAGCAATCTAAGTGGATATCTGAGAAATCTACACAAACTACAGTATAAAGCCTTACCGTTGCAATTGGCCCATCCACATGATAGTCTAGACTGAAGACATCCCATCCAGTATCACCAGGAGATACCTATATGAAAAAAAATGCTACATTTAGTCACGTACCAAAGTCTGCACACTGCTGAAATCTTTACTGTTCCCCCAAGAACTATGAAAAAGCAGTTACGTTTGCCAAAAATGGCTTTATCAATATTATATTGCTAATTTTCACAAAGAAATACTATAACAACTTTGTTTCGTTGGTTTAATAACATGTAGATTAGACATCTTTTGAGGCTAAGCAACACATTCCCTCACTAAACTCCCATAATTTACAGAAGTCTCTCTGATGCAAGGCTGACCGAGAAAATATTCACTGTTCATTTTCTTCATAATTCCGTACCACCAGTGTCAAAGACCCTGCCTCCGATTCTCAGAGTGGCGACTGAAGGAGCTAATTTCAGCCCCCTGATTCTGGACTACTAGCCCCTGTATAAATTATAGCAGGACTCTCCCTACTCTCTCTCTCTCATACTGCTCGTGTAAGGGACCTTATATCAGCAGAGGTTCAAATTTAGCAGAGATAATCTTATACTTTTGGGGGTTGGCGGTGGGGAGAGGAGGGAACAGTTGGTTTAGAAGGAGGCTGTGTGTCATCCACCAGCTTTCCACCAAAGATTCACTCTAATATTGGGTGAGGAAAGGCAAGTCTCTGCTGGGAATCTCCGGCCAGGGTAAGGCCAGTTTGTGCTGTGTGAGCAATACAAAGTGACCTTAGTGGGCAGAAGAATGTGACTCAACATGAATAGAAACTAGAAGTTCACCTGATGCTGATCCAAGAGCTAATTTTAGATATTTATACCCAGAAAATAATTTTCATGTCAGGAGCTGAAATGACCCAGAGTACCTCCAGAAGTCTAACATCCAACCGTTTGAGGATCTCAGGATTATCAAACTGTGCATTAGTTGCCCTGACAGCTGTTTCAAGGATTCCTGTCAGATTATGCTGATACAAAGTGGTAGCTGGTCGGGCAAGCTCTGGCCTAGAGGTTACAAAAATAAAGTCATTATATACAGTTTATGATATTGTATAGTAGTTACTTTGCAGTATGGTAGCAATTGCAGTGAGTCTGTACAACACTTAAACATTTGTCTCCAAATTGTATTTTCAAAATTAAGGACAACTGCCTACATTCACTACATGAATGACAGAGAAATGAAGCATTAAATAACATTGAGAGATTTTAAGTAATTTGCCTATCTGTGTATATAACAAACATCAGTGCTAGTACTAGATTCATTACCATTTAATGCAAGTAATTACTTTAAAAATTGTATTAGTATCTAACACAAAACTATAATTTTAGTCACATTTACAATCAGAATGAACTATTGTTTATTTGTAGTGCCTTAATATGGCAGCTACAACCAGAAAGCCACTAATTTTAGTTAGTGGTTATGAGAGACTTGTACATACTAATCTGAAGTGCTTAGACTGGCTGATGAAAGTATCTAAAGCCTATAATCCTCAGTTTAATGGGAACTTTTTAAAGTTCTACATCAAGAGGTTGTTTTTCCCCACTAATTATGCGTTTAAGGCAGTATTGATTCGATACATGATCCCCAGTTTTTCTGCTGCACATTATTTGCTTTCTTAAAAAGTGCAGACACATTATCAATAAAAAATGTTGGCCAAAGTTGTTTTTGATGTTTATCAAGTTAATGGAAGCTTTTTAATATACAATCTGTTTTGTAGAAAAGAAGAGCTGCTTAATGGGTTTTTTAATTCTTGCACATGAAATTTCAGCAACATGACCACGAACTAAAATAAGATGCTATGCAAGTATGCTTCTTACAAACTCAGCTGGGCACTTATGCCTGCAGTTGAGGGTGCCAAACGTTAAAGATGTGAGCTGTCAGTTGAAGCTGTAATCATAAATCTTACCAACATACTCTAAACATTTTGGAAAAAAAAGGAAGAAAAAGAACGAACGAACGCAATACACTTAAAAGGATGTAGAAATGTTGTATTTATAGCCCTGCTCATGAGTGGTGTTTTAAAAGTACTAGAAAGTGAGACAGAATTTAGAAATCACAGAGCACGGGCACTGGAAATGCAGGCAGCCCAGAGCACATCAGGAGGGAGAGGGTAACAGTAGTTCAGCTTTTAAAGATCTTGAAATTCTTTTGTACTTACTACTTACAGGAAAAAACAAATTTCAACTACTATTAAAAGGTCAAAAAAATCCAGTCTAATATTTTGTTGAATCTAAGGATGTCTATAATAGTAAAATATTAGCTGCATTAAAATATTTTCTTTTTAGAAAATGATCTGTTGTACATTTGCAAATATTCAAAATGCAGTATAATTGTACTGCATGTCGTCTTACTTAAGCAAGTCCATTAAGTGTCTTATAAAATCTCCTTGACCGAGAAGTAAGTAGCGCCTCATAGCCTGCATGTGCTCCAGTAAATTGTATTTTTTATTGAGAACATCCAGCAAGTATTTGCTGGTCTCAAAGTAAGCTGCATCGATTTTTCCCTGAAATGCATTTTCCAAATCTGTGAACAAGTCAGCAGCTGCAAAAACAAAAACAGAAAATACAAGGTTATTAACATACGTATTTAAGAAAAACACTGAAGATGAAAAAAATTATACAAATGTAGAGGTATTACCACTTCCACAGATTCTAATTCTCTATTTCTGAACTGACCTATCCATGAAAAATAGAGAAATGTCTGGAGTAGCCCGTACATCAGTGTCAATCAACATTAGGCAAAGATCATCAATATTGACCTTCAAATTAAGAACTCATACTATTTCATAATTTTTACAGAAAATATCTGTCTACTTTCGCCATCTGCTGTGATACTGTGGTAGTCAGGATCACACACTGTTCTGTAACCATCCAATAGAACATACAAACAGGATGTGTATGCAAAAGGGGACAAGACAAAATGTGCTGCGATGGCTAAAACAAGTCTTTAAAAGTTGAGAGTTGTGGGTTAATAATATAAATTAAATTTTCAAGAGTTAAATTGTAATCCCGACATTCTACTTAGAGCTGAAAAACACTTGTCAGACCAAAGAAATTGTATAAAGGGACAGAAGTTAGAAACAGTGGCAGAAATGTAACAGTGAGATTTAAATGCAGGGGAAGAGGCAAGCAACCAAGAAATGATATACTTGGGGGAAATAGCTGAAATATATACATACCAGGAGGGAGAAACCTAGGAAGCACCAATGTTGCAAGAGACTTAAGTGTGAGTGGAAAGTAAATTCAGTATTACCAATCATGAGCGTGCAAAAGCAAGTGTCAGGCTAAAAAAGTCATGAGATTGACTAAGAAGTTGTGAGATTTTTAGAAAATAATAAATGTATGTTCGTTTATATGCCTTCTATTGATTGAATCTATAGAATTCGCATTCCAGCTTCTCTCTACAACCATGGAGGCTATAAAATTACTTTTTTTTTTTTAAATAAAGAAAGCTGAGATTCTCATGTAATCACATGAATCCAGGAGTTGGCGCTTTAAGCAAAAACACCAAATATCACAGGACTCACAATACAAGTTACAAGAGCTGGCAGCATCAAAATTAAATGTGGGTTTTCAGTGGCAGGGGCGGAGATGGAAAAAGGAGTGACCAATACACATATGCTTCAAAACTGCAAGGGAATCACATCAATGAATAAGGAGGCAATAGTCCATCTCTACATGACTATGGTACAAGTGCACCTGGAATATTGTATTTATAACCTTCACATCATGTTACCATTGACATTGATGAAATTCAGTGAGAAAAACAACAAAAGTTACCAGGAAACTAGATTACATTTACAAAGAAAGATTAATAAATATGCATAACTAGGTAAATGAAAAAAATGTGTGTGTGGTGGAGCTATAAGCAGCCTACAGATATTTTAAAAATAAATGGATATAAGGGACTCAAACTAGAAGAAACTGAACAAAACTAAGAAATTGTATAAAGGGACAGAAGTTAGAAACAGTGGCAGAAATGTAAGAAAGGGAACACTGTGACAAAATATGAAAAATTTCTTAAGAGTGAAATATGTTAGAATGAGATTCTCCAATGGGAAAGGGTTGTTCCATTTAAAGTTTAAGTGGACAAAAAACACAAGAAAGTGAATTGTAGGGAATAATCCTGCATTGTCCGATGGATGGCGTTAGTGATCTGGTAGTTTTCCATCATCTCCAACGTTAGTCAATTTGGAGGTAAAAAGGTAATAAAGGGAAGAAAGTATTACCTGAAATATGCATTTAAATAAATGGTGTTATTTTACACTTTTGTGCAAATACAACAATGCCATCATCTCAGGCATTGGCACCCTGACAGCAGGATTGTCTGGCTATGTAGACTCCCTCCTCAGGCCCTACGCTACCAGCACTCCTAGCTATCTTCAAGACACCACTGACTTCCTGAGGAAACTACAATCCATCTGTGATCTTCCGGAAAACACCTCCTAGCCACTATGGATGTAGAAGCCGTCTACACCAACATTCCACAGAAAGATTAACTACAAGCTGTCAGTAATATGTCGATAATGTCATGGCAAACCTGGTGGCTGAACTTTGTGACTTTGTCCTCACCCATAACAATTTCACATTTGGGGACAATGTAAACCTTCTAATCAGCGGCACTGCTATGGGTACCCGCACAGCCCCACAGTATGCCAACATTTTTATGGCTGACTTAGAACAACGCTTCCTCAGCTTGCGTCCGCTAACGCACCTACTGTACTTGTGCTACACTGATGACATCTTCATCATCTGGACCCATGGAAAAGAAGCCCTTGAGGAATTCCACCATGATTTCAACAATTTCCATCCCACCATCAACCTCAGCCTGGACCAGTCCACACAAGAGATCCACTTCCTGGACACTATAGTGCTAATAAGCGATGGTCACATAAACACCACCCTATACCGGAAACCTACTGACCGGTATTCCTACCTACATGCCTCCAGCTTTCATCGAGACCACACCACACGATCCATTGTCTACAGCCAACCTCTACGATACAACCGCATTTGCTCCAACCCCTCAGACAGAGACAAACACCTACAAGATCTCTATCAAGCGTTCTTAAAACTAAAATACCCACCTGCGGAAGTGAAGAAAAAGATTAACAGAGCCAGAAGAGTACACAGGCGTTACCTACTACAGGACAGGCCCAACAAAGAAAACAACAGAACGCCACTAGCCATCACCTTCAGCCCACAACTAAAACCTCTCCATCATCAAGGATCTACAACCTATCCTGAAGGACGACCCATCACTCTCTCAGATCTTGGGAGACAGGCCAGTCCTTGCTTACAGACAGTCCCCCAACCTGAAGCAAATACTCACCAGCAACCACACCACACAACAAAAACACTAACCCAGGAACCTATCCTTGCAACAAAGCCCGTTGCCAACTGTGTCCACATATCTATTCAGGGGACACCATCATAGGGCCTAATCACATCAGTCACACTATCAGAGGCTCGTTCATCTGCACATCTACCAATGTGATATATGCCATTGTGTGCCAGCAATGCCCCTCTGCCATATACATTGGCCAAACCGGACAGTCTCTACGTAAAAGAATAAATGGACACAAATCAGATGTCAGGAATTATAACATTCAAAAACCAGTTGGAGAACACTTCTATCTCTGTGGTCACTTGATTACAGACCTAAAAGTTGGAAATCTTCAATAAAAAAAACTTCAAAAACAAACTCCAACGAGAGACTGCTGAATTAATTCCATTTTGCAAACTGGACACCATTAAATTAGGCTTGAATAAAGACTGGGAGCGAATGTGTCATTACACAAAGTAAAACTATTTCCCCATGTTTATTTTCCCCCCTACTGTTCCTCACATGTTCCTGTCAACTGCTGGAAATGGCCCACCTTGATTATCACTACAAAAGGTTTTTTGTTTTTCTCTCCTGCTGATAAGACCTCACCTTACCTGATCACTCTCCTTACAGTGTGTATGGTAAAACCCATTGTTTTATGTTCTCTGTGTATATAAAATCTCCCCACTGTATTTTCTACTGCATGCATCCGATGAAGTGAACTGTACCTTACGATAGCTTATGCTCAAATAAATTTGTTAGTCTCTATTTGTTAGTCACAAATACTTAACATTTTTTTAGTTTATTTTAAACTTCAAAAAAAGGTGGGGGGGGATTGGAATGGGGCTACTGGAATAGGGAGAATATTTTTGTTGAGGTTTTGCAGGTCCAGAATCTGAGACCATCATTGGCTTTTGGGATTAGGAAATACCAGGAGTAGAACCCCCAGCCCTTTAGCTCTGGCAGAACATTCTCCACTGCTCCCTCCCTTATGAATGAGCGCACCTCTTGGGCTAGAAGCTGCTCTTGAGAAGGATCCCTGAAGAGGGACAGGGATGGAAGGTGGGAAGAAGGGGAACAACAAAACTGAAGAGTGTATCCCAGTGCTACCATGCACAGACCCATCGATCCAAGGTGATACAGGCCAACGCTCAACAGAAGTGGGATAACAGGTCCACAAAAATGGGGGAATTTGGATCCATGAACTGTCTTGGCACATCATCCTCAAAAGTTCCATCAAAATGCCTGCTTTGACCCCAGTGCAGGTGAAGACTGTGGCAGATATCTCCTTCTCTAGTCCCTGATCCTCCTCCCACTATAATCCTGTAAAGGGGGGAAAGAAGGGGGTGGAGCGAGGAAGGGGAGGAAGGCGGGGGGAGCGAGCAGTCAGCTGTGTCCTGTGGTGCTTTCTCACAGGGGCTGGAGTATGAAGGCCCAAGGACTTACGTGTGGCCCTTGAGTCCTTTAAACTGTGAAGTTTGGAGTCTGTCTTCTCAGAAAAGAATGACATACCCTCAAAGGGGAGGTCCCACAAAGTTTGTTGGACCTTGTGTGGCAAGATTGAGGATTGAAGCCACGAGCTTCTCCACAAAGCCACAGCTGAAGCCATGGATCGGGCTGCAGAGTCCAGCACATCCAGGGCAGCCAGTAGTGACGCCTTTGCCACGGACTAGCCTTCCTCTATGAGTGCCACAAACTCTCGTTTTGACTCCTGAGGTAGCAACTCCTTAAATTTTTGCATAGAGTCCCAGTAGTTGAAATTGTACCTGCTCAGGAGTGCCTGGTGACTAGTGATCCTTAGCTGGAAACCCCCACCAAAAAGACCTTCCTCCCAAAAAGGTCCAACTTTTTTTCATCTTTGGCCTTAGGTGTCAGTCCCTGTTGGCCTTGCCTTTCCCGCTTGTTGGCTGCTGCCACCACCAAAGAGCCTGGTGGTAAGGGTGTATACAGGAACTTGAACCCTGTCACCGGGACAAAGTATTTTCTTTGTCTCTTTTGCAGTTGCCCTGATGGGGTCTGTGATAGCACCATTTGGCGGGGGCGGGCGCAACGTCACCCTTGCAGGATCAATTGCTGCCAAGACGTTCACAAGGGAGTGGGAAGACTTTCTAATTTCCTCCACCTGGATACCCAGGTTCTGAGCTACCCTCCTTAGCTTTGGTGCACCCTATAATCCTCCTGCAGGGGCACAATATCAGTTCCCATGACCGCCTCAT